CTATAAAGAATATTTAATGATTACGGTAATATCTCTTTACCTTTTACATGTTGTTAGGTATATATATAGTGAACTTTGAAGTATTTTGGGTTGCACTAGTAATTGGGGTTTCTGGTGCCTGTCGATGCTTCGAATTGACAAATTTAAAAATTAGTGACGTACAGGACGTTGGCAGTTACCTACTTGTTTCAATACCTGACACCAAGACGGGCATTTCAAGAAAATTTACAATTATAGACGAAGGATTTTGTGTGAATACTGTTAAAATATGCAGAAAATGTATTTCTCTTAGCCCAATTTGCCTAACACAAGACAGATTCTTTTTAAGATACATCAATTAAAAATGTACTTCTCAGCCTTGTGAAATCAACACATTGCGAAGGTACCCTGAATAGCTGCTTCATTCCTGAATATCGGAAATCCAGAAGCATACACTGCCCATTATATGAGACGCGCTTCAACAACTTTATTGGCCAATAAATTTGCTGATCTTACAATCATCATGGTATGGTGGATGGAAGAACTCCTCTGTAGCAGAAAGTTATGTTGGGGAGTCTATATCTAACAAACTTGATATTGCAAGGAAAATCCAAGGAAATATAACTGTTCCTTACAAGAAGAGACATCCGTAACTTGTGCAAATTCTTCACAAACTTCGGTAGATGTTATGCATTGCGAAAATGTTGGCAACAATGCTACAAAGGTTGTTATTAACGGAAAGCAACATTGTTTTTAAGGCATGGTTTCTTAGATCTGATGACGTTAATGCCACCTGTCCGCTAAGCGCCTAACTTCCCTAAAACTGTGGGCAATCTCAACAATTAGACAGACCCTCTTGACCTTTTCCTGTATTATTAAGTAATATAGTAGAGGTGTTATGCAATATTTCTAAAGAAAAACAATAATTAATAAGTGAAAGAATGATTATGAAAAAAGAGTTAAATTGTATTCTCACTGGACTAGATAAATCTCAAAAAGAACAAAAGTTTTAGTTAAATAGTTACAAAATTTTTATTTTCTGAAGTTCCTACAAATACCATAAAAGATCGCCATTCTTGTGAAAAAGTTGTTCTCTATAAATGACAATTTATTTGACTGCTTATACGAAGTCTTTACAGAAAACTAACTTTTTGAATTACGCGGTAATAGAGATATTTAGTGACATGCGGTTGGCAGTATTGCGTTGCGCGTAACCTTCTCTGTAACCACATGTTCTTGAATTGTTGAATCTCATTTAGTTTTAAGTGATATTGTTTTTTGAGTGCAACGTGTTTAAGCGTTAGTGACAATTTTTCAAATGTGTGGTTTTCATCGTAAAATTTTGCGAGAAACGGGGAAGCTTTCACGGAAACGTTTCAACTTTTGACACAAGCACTACGAATGGTTTTCTCGTTTGATCGTCAGTCAATTGAAGATAATCCTCGACCAGGAAGGTCTTCGACATCAACTGATGACTCCCACGCTCAGAAGTCAAAAATCTGATGCAAGCAAATCGCCGATTGACTGTCGAGAAATTGCAAAAGAGGTTAGCATCTCAATTGGGTGATGAAATGAAATCTTGACTGAAAACTTGCATCGAGTTACAGCAAAATTTGTTCCTGATGACCGAACAACAAAAATAATCGTGTGGACGTTTGTCGGCAAGCCCTTGAACAATCCAACAGTTACGTGAAATAATCGGCACAATGAAAGTTGTGGCGAAACAACTCATGGTTCTTGCACCATGACAATGTGCCCGCATACGCAGTTTTGGCATTTCGTCAGTTTTGTGCGAAAAATCAGATTACTGCCCTTCCTCACCCACATTACTCGCTATCTGGGTGCGATTTTTTCGTATGTATTCATATTGTGGGTACACAGGCCGCAAATGACCCATTTTTAAGTACAACGTCAAGAGCGCCAGCGAGACGCCGCCCAGACGCACCAGGGTTCCCGGAAGACGACCCCGGCAGAGTGGTGCCAAGGACCAGGTACTTCTGCGAACGACTTCACACGAGGACCACTCTCCAACGAACACTCACCCCGTCAACATGTCTTTTTCTATACAAATTAGTTTTCAATAAAATACTTTATTATTACCGTTGAGAGAGCGTTTTATTCTTGCTGTACAGCGAAACCAATACTCAATATCACACAAGTCTTGATGAATGGCATGAGGTTATCTAAAAAATGCCCGAAAACCTAAAATATCGCACATTTGAAGATGATTTGTAGAAAACCCTTCCGGTAGAATTTTTCCGAACCCTGAAATTCGTTTTCAGAACATCAAAATACATAGGAAAAGTCGGGTCTGATCTAAAAGACAAAAACTTTTTTTCGTCGGCCGTATTATCTTATTTACGTTGTTTGTTTGGGAAAACTAAGTTTATGAAATCAACTCTTGACCGGTCCTTTTGACAAAAGGGGTTATTTACTAAACGTTTCTAATTTATTTAATTTAATTTTCTTTCCAGCTTGGCAAGATATCCAATTACATAAAGATACTAACCATGATCGTTTTATAATTTTGATTATACGGTTGTACATGTAATATATTGCAGGTGTTTAACTCTTCGCTTCAAAGATTACTTGAAACCATAGAGTTATTAAATTTAAGCTTACCCTTGTAACTTCAAGAACATTGAATGGATAGTAATTGAAATGTATCGATCTACGTTATGTGTTTCTTGAGTATTACCAAGAAGTTAAGCACCCGAAATAATCGGATAAAATTTGTCAACGTTGGCGTTGCTTTGATTTAAAAATAAATCTGCTCTTTATATAAAAAGCTCCAATATCTGTTTAAAAATATCTTATCTCGGGGTCTTAAAAATATGTATATCATGTAATGAAAGAAAATTGCGAAAAGAAATTGTTTACCTTCATAATAAATGAAATTGAATTGAACGTAACTTCATCGTTATTATTGATAATAAGGAATTGGTTATTTGCAGCTGGTATTTTCGTAAAAAAGCTAACATGGAATCTTCACTTTGAAAGAAGATTAAAAAAGGCGTACATATCCTATGAGCAGTGCCGCAGTACCGTTGGCAAAACCTTGGGCATGAAACCAAACGTGGTTATGTGGATATACACTGCCATAGTTAGCCTATGGGGCTGTCGTCTGGTGGCCGAAATCCCAGCAGACGACAGCTAGACAAAAGCTCAACCAAGTACAAAGGATTGCCTTTCTGAGCATAACTGGAGCTATGCGAACAACACTCACCATAGCAATGGAGGTAAAGCTGTGTCTGCCACCTCTGGATATTTATCTAAGAAAAATGGCTTTGACAACTATGCTTCGCCTCAAGAACGTTGGTTTAAAACCGGATGTAGGATGCGGAGAAGTTAGAAGTCGCCTATGGAATGAGGTCGTCAGGAAGACGCCCCTTCTGCAGGCAGACACTGACAGTATTTCTCCCCGGTTTGCATTTGACAAACTCTACACCATACTCGCTAAGAAACAAGAGGAAACCGCCCGTGGAGATGTAATTAGCGTCTTCACAGACGGATCAAAAAGGAAGGAGGGTGCAGGATGTGGAATATACTCTAGATCCCTGCACATCCGATATCAGTGGGCAATGGATAGGCATGCTACCGTTGTACAAACGGAGTTAGCAGGCATAACCATAGCCGCGAAGGAAATTGCCCGCAGGCATACTACGGGCAAAACCATTAGAATCTTCACGGATAGTAGAAAATCACTACTGACCTTGCGTAATCATAAGATAATGACTAGGACAGTATGGGAATGCCATGAAGCACTGGTTGTGGCCTCGGCCTCTAACAGCATATCTGTATGCTGGGTAAAGGGACACGAGCGGTGCTATGGCAATAAAGAAGCTGACAAGCTAGCCAGGAGCGCATCGGTCCTCAACATTTTTGGACCCGGTCCCTCCAGTGTGCTTCCGTTGTCAGCACTTGCTGGAATTATTAAGGAAGACACTCACAAAGAATTCATGAAACGGTGGGATGAAACAATTAGCTGTCACTTCGCTAAGGAGCTCTTAGTGTATCCTAGCAAAGACGCAGCCAAAAAATACCTGGCCATGTCTAGGTCAAATCTTCGCCTGGTGACAGGTATTCAAACTGGACACTGTTGGCTAAGGAAACACCTTTACAATATGGGGAAGTGTGAAACGCCTCTTTGTAGGGGCTGTGAACAGGAAGACGAGGCAGTATTGCATGTACTATGTGAAAGAAAGTCCATGTTGGGAGAACGCTGGCCTTCAATGGCCTATATTAGAGAGATCCCCCTGAGCAACGTCACCACCTTTTTCACTGTAATTGGCTGGCTGGCGACTCAGGTGGATTGATCTCTCTAATGGGAGGAAGTACAAGGGGCCTAAGTGCTGTAACTTTGCTACCCTCCCCACTACTCCAGAACTCCAGTGTTCCATGACTTCGAAAAGGTTAAGAACAACTGATCTAAACCACATTGTAACACAAATCAGTACGGTTTTAAAAGGATGGTTATCGATAAGAATATTGTTGCCAGTCAACTTCTTTAGAATATTTTATTTGAAACAACATAATATTTTGCATACAAAGAAACAATTGTTCTAATAAATTTAAAAATCCCGTATTCATAGACCCACTGAACAGAAAAGGATCTACTCCTTTTTCATGTGATTGATTTTCTCATAGTCGTAATTTTTTAGCCCCTTAAAACTTGTTTATATAAAAGATGTATGTCCTTACTGATTTGTATTATACTGTCTAAACTGTAACCAAGTACGTTTACAGGGTTAATGTAATTTTTACAGAAGCAACTATTTATTGAACGAGGTCTGCAATTACTCGTATTTGGACTATGATTCCTGATTACCGAAACATAATCCACCAAAATTAGAGGTAATTTTCGGAGAGTCCTGACAGTTACAACGCAGGGCATAGTATACCCTTTTTTCTTTTCATCACGTATTTTGATTCGTGAAATTATGTGCAAAATGAATTCATATCTTCTGAGATTAATTTTAATGCCAGAGAACGTGAAATACTTGATCTAATTTTTTTTCCAGGTACGGCGACATCGCTAGCCGTTCCGGACATGTCATATTCTAGTTCCGAGGGCGAGGACGACTTCTTCGACGCAAACGACTCCCCCTTCACCCCTGGAAGTGTTGTGACGACACCTACGTGAGTAGATTTCAGCTTTATTATTCTCGACGATTGTGTAAGCGAACGAATTCGCCGCAACATGTTTACGAAAGCATCATAAAAACAGCCTCGAGAAAAATCCCCAGTGATGCCCGTAATAATTCGGATAAAGAGAATAATTCAGTTATCTGGAAAAAAAATAAGTTACACAGGACATTCTTGCTTGTATATTTGAAGAGATGATTCTACTCATGAAAGAAAACAAAAAAAAACGCTATAAATATGGGTATGATTTTGATGCGCTGATTACTATCTATTTTTCCAAGTCGGCAATCATTTTACTTTTAATTATAAGCGCATTAGGAGAAGGGACGATCGAGATACGTATTCTTATTTTTTCGCTAGGTAGTTTCTTAAATTCTCTGTTAGATATTGATTCAACGGCATTTTTTGCATAAAAAGAGGTTTTCTTGTAAAACTTCACCAGATTAATCTTTTTTGATGTCTTTGTTTAAACACAGGTCAACAAGTACAGGAGAGGTAATATTCGTAAAACGAAAACATCAAAGCATTTGTTGCTACGTTGCTCCATTTGGAGCGATTTTTCTTTAAAACTAATCGTGAATACGCGTATTTCCGCTGAATCACAAAGAATTTAAGAAAGTGATTTGTTAAAAAATTGTTTTAAATAACTGATAATAACTGCTAACTTCAAAAAATAACATTTATTGTTCCAAACAAAATTACTGGTCACGTGGTTTGTAATCATTTATGAAGACTACGTACAGTGTTGTAATATAGTGTAGTGTGTAAAATTTTACACTATCATAGGGAATCAAAACATTTCAGATTAGTTTGTCATTTCCTTGACAGTAGTATGCGACGTGTGGATTTGCAAAATTGTTTCCTTCGGCTGGTGTTAACTTTGTTTCTGCAGTAAATTTCTGATAGTATGTAAACTGTTTTTATTGCGGATGTGCCATTGTGGACTACTTGCTAACAGTTCAGTAATGAATGATGAATAGTTTGTATTGACAATGAAATTTGAAATAAGGATAACAAACTGACAACAGAGAAAAAGATATATACGTATAACTTCAAATCTGTTCTTGAATAATTGGAATATAATACAGATAAATCTCCAACGAGTATGATCGCCATAGTTATGTCACAGTTTGAAAACCTTGCACGAACACCAGATTCCACAGAATTTCATATTGGTTTGGCAGAAACGGTAATTTCCTAATGCGCATGTTCTGGACAACTGGAAACCGTTGGAGATTACTGCAGAAACAAATCTATTGAAACGTTATTTTCATATCCTCCAAAGTGTATTGTTTACTTGATGACTAAATAGATTGTATTGATTTCAGGTAGGTAACCCTTGACCTAGATAGAGATTGACTTTTAATATACACAGTGGTTTACTTAACCAAATTATCTTCCTCTATTGTAACCTTAAAGGGGTCGGAAAGATCAATTTTCTTCAAGGACCCACAGCTATATTTCGTATTTGTTGCTGTGACTCGTAATTATAATCAAAAAGAAAATTAAAAATACTTAAAAATCAAACATATCTTCGTTGATACAAACCAAAAAAAGATAGCAACTTTTTTCCTTAAAACAATTGCTAAGGGCTCTGTAACTCTTCAAATATTGGAATTGAAACGGTTTTTGATCAACTACTTAGATATAAAGTTCAAATTTAATACAGTTCATAGTTATAATTTAAAAAGAAATAACCAGTGACGTTAAATCTTAAGTTGTACTGTTTGTGACCGCTGCTAACAACGCCCTAACTTAATCATGAATTTTGGACTTTTAATGGTGAAAGGTGAATACGAGAAAACCCAAGAGGCACAAAAGTTTTAATTGGAAATGGTCTGTAATAAAAGATCATCTTTGACGTCAAATAACTTTTGTAACAGTTGACCCCTTCTACTTCCCAAAATTGTAAACAGTGACTCATTCTCAACTTACAGATTCGTGCAACGGATGTAAGTCATACGGATATGGCGTGTCAGTTTAAAAATTATTAAATTTAGAAACAAATAGTTATGTCGATTTTAGTTAAAGCTAGATTGTCATTATAAATCTACTTTTTGGTACATTTAAATATGCAACAGGTTGGTATGTACTTTTTATTTGTACTAAATTATGTATGTGGCAATTTTGCCCTCGTAGACAAGAATGGCCTAGTACCATCCGTGTGCACCTCTTTCTTTTTTTATTATGGGCCATAGCCATTGGTTTCGTTAACTAGACTACTTACTTAGTGTGACAGTAAGGCGCTTCAATATCAGTCAAATCACTGAAAAATGAGAAAAGTATAATTTGTTATATTACAATTTCAACCCTTGTATCAAGCTCCGACATTCATTGTTATTATTTTCACACTTTNTATTTGAGTAAATTTAAATGGTAACAATGAATAAACAAAACATCAAGGATTTTATTTTTGTGCTTACTTTTGTTCTACACGTTTTACTTTCAAAGATTTCAGTACCTAAAAACGCCAGAAATTTCACTATTTTTCGGCCGGGAATATGGCCACCTTAAAGCTAAATTGTCATTATAAATCATGTCATTTAAATATGCAACAGGTTAGTATGTACTTTTTATTTGCACTAAATTATGTATGTGGCAATTTTGCCCTCGTAGGCAAGAATGGCCTAGTACCACCCATGTGCACCTCTTTGTTTTTTTTATTATGGGACATAGCCATTGCTTTCGTTAACTAGACTACTTACGTAGTGTAACAGTAAGGCGCCTCAAAATCAGTCATATCACTAAAACTAATAAAGGTACAAATCACTGAAAAATGAGATGCCCCACCGATGAAACACTAAGAACCACTATTATGAGGATTAGTAAAATCACTAAAATCACTTGTTACTGTTGTCGCTGTCACTATCACTGTTTCTAACTCTATCACTATTGTCGCCTAAAAGTATAAGTTGTTATATGTATTATAATTTCAACCCTTGTATCGAGGTCCGACATTCATTGTTCTTATTTTCGTACTTTTCCATGTCTCCGCAGTTTCCCAGTTTAATTTTACTTCTACATCTGATAATTTAAAAGTTGTGTTATTTCGTGCCACGTAAGTTTTTATATTTACCCAAATCAGGTCAAAGAGGTTTACAGTTGTTTGGTGGCAATCGAATAAGTGTAACACCAAAGGTTTCGCCCAGTTCGTCCACTGCATACTTCATGTATTTGACTTTTTCTTTTTGTGCAATTACTAATAATTGTACTTCCTACATCCTGCATTTATATTCAACATATTTCCCATTCAACCATTCCATAATTTCTCCTTTTCTCCATACAGATGTTAGCAATTTTCTATTCGTCGACTATGGTAAGGCGCGTTTTCCATGGCAGTCCCTGCAACAGGTTAGATGGGAGGCAAAGTAGATATAAACCATTTTTTAAATACCTCACTGTCCATATCCTTATGAATAGCGACTCGCCGTCCTTTCCCAGGATATGCCTTTAATCCTTTAGAAAATCATTTTAAAATTGCTTCTCGTCTACTGTTGATATTTATATGTTGCCGAACCTTGGACACTCAATTATTTTTTCTTCTTTCTTTTTATACTATCTTTGCTTTCGTTTCATGCATGTACTATGCAGTAAAACTCTTCAGATCTAAGTAGATTTTCGTCTTCTGCGATTGCAGTTTGAGTTTTCTTTAAAAGTTTATTTTTAAATTAAAATCTAGGTCCTGTCAGGTAATTCTTTTTTTTATTTTTCGTTTCACCACTTTAAAGAATGCGCATTTCCACGGCATTACTCACCGAGATATCCGTTTAACCGTTTAGCGCTCGATTCCTAATAAACATTGTTTATCATACAATATCCTGGATTTATTGATCAATTAAATTTACTCGTTTACTAACAGTTAAACACGACTCTTCTTTTAAAAACGCACTGGAATAACTAAAATTTATAAATCTTAACACTTTTTTCCCGCTTGCACGCATATGATACGAAACGAAATACCTAAGCTGGAAACCGGTATATCGTCACACAAGCAAATACAGAAATGGGCGCAATCGAACATCCCAAGTGCAAGCGTACAGACTGAATGCATTATCGATACACTGTGCGAAATAAGCACATTGAAGCTTCCATGAAGAGAATACACAAAATTATTTTATCATATTCATATCATATCATATCAACTTGGTAAAATTGCGGCTTGATTTATTAATGAGAATTACTACCTACTATTTTGGAACTGTGAAATAATTCCATGTAAATTCAACATCTACATCAGTAAATGAAGGCCGGTGGCGGAATGTTTTTCCGGAAGCGCCTGGTAAAAACCGCCGATGTCGACCCAAAACTAAACATAAACGACAAGGACACCCGCAGAGAGGTGCGACAGGAATTGACCTTTGTTTTATACCACAATATATCCCCGCAAAAGTGAAATAGTCGCGACCACTTATCCCCTTCGGTAGCTGGACGGACGTCGACGTCACATTTATCGACTTCATCGCCGCTACCTTCTTTATGACTTATTTCGCAGCAGGGGAGGAATGCGGCGCCCTTTGCGAAATACAACTATTTCCTCTCACGATTCGAACCAACTTTCACTATAGGGGATTACCCATCACCATCAAAATTCGAGCCTTCTGTGTAATTGGTGAAAAAATTGGCAGATAAATAATAGTCAAATGTGAAGGACAACTAATAGTCCACGGGGTGCCTCGAATTGCAAAAATCAAACCTGGTGATAGATCCAAATTTAGACCTCCTTTGACAAAATTACGACTGACAGGAATTTTTTTCAAGGGAGGGTTAAACTGAGAGTAATAGATGCTGCGGCTATTAAGTAATATTTTAGTAAAGAATTTGTTCTGATCAAATCTGGAAAAGTTTTATTAAATTTACAGCCTGGAACTGTCGTCACCATTTAAATTAGAATGCCTCCTACTGCTAAAAGTCTTGCTGATCGTCTCCGTCAACTATGGCAATCGTACTCTTTTCAGTTTTTTGTTTATTTATATGATAAAGACCCGGGGGTTTTCACCC